GGGCACAGGAATCGCACACAACCCCAGGGCCTGGGGTCACGGGAAGCTCTTCTCCTTCAGGACCACAGAGCAGGGGACTCCACACCCAGGAGATGGGAGGGAGGACTGCCGCTGCTGGAGCCACACAGCCAGGCCTTCCAGGGCAGCCCAACCCAAGGGCCACCTGGCATTAAGTATCTGGAAGTTCTAGACGTCTGGGGTCCAGATCACTCATTCCAGATAGACTCTGCAGGGGACAGGGCCGTTCTCGTCAGCTCACAGGTGCCAGCGCTGGGTTGAGACATGAGCCCTCCTGGGGATGAGGCCACAGCAGCACCTGTCTCATGCCAGCCTCCTCCCCTGTCATCGGTGCTGCAAGCAGGAATGGTGGTGGCTGCAGACGCCCAGGCTGAGCTCTGCAGCCAATGCCCACTCCGTGTCCTCCCTGTCCACTGGCCATCTTCAGTGCTGCTCTTGGGACGGGGAAGGTGGCACATTTTTTAAACCAGCTTGAGAAGCACCGTGACCCCAGTTGTCACCGAGGTCTGAAAATCTGACGTTGTTGGCCATCCCGGGCAGCAGGGAGCTGTTGAACCCCAAGGAGCTTCTTCAATGCCACAGAATCTCCACCGTTGGTAATTTCACTTTTCAATTTCTTAAAAAGTTGAGTCCAAATCTGCCTTCTTGTAACTCAAGCCCACCTGACCCTACCTTGCCTTCTGTGCTCCCAGCGGCCCCCTCTTCAGCCCCACCCAGAAACACCACACTGCCCACGTGGACCTCAGAAGCCAGCTGCTTGTGGCCGACCCAGGTCAGAGCACAGCACTGCACTCAAGTGACTTTTAGGTGGTCTGTGTGGCTGTGGGTGACTCTCTATGTACCTGACAGGTGTGACGGGGGCATGGCCTCCAGGCATCCCCTGCTGAGCAAGGCAGGCTGCTTCCCTAGCCATACTGCACACATACACTGCTGGGCCCAGTCCAGTCTCCTTGGTCTGGCTCCTATGCCGTGGACTGTGGGGACTCAGGGGCACCTCTATAGGTGCCTTCACCTTTCATCTCCTGGTCCCCAGGGCAAGGGGCTGTGGAGATGTGGTGTGTTCATTCTGTCATCCACACATCAGCTCTCCCTAACGAGTCCTTGTCATCTGCGGGTCTGAGCTCCATGTCTCTATGTCTTTATCAAGTCGCTGACTCTATTGTTTAGCAGGCCAGGAGCAGCGTCCCACCAGCACCTCCTTCCAGGTGACACAAAACCGTTCATCTGTCCACATTTGGGGGCTCCTGGTACTTGAACTGCTTTAGATCCTCTGCCTCCTGGAGCTTTTCCAAATCTTCATCCTAAAAGCAGAAGAAGTCCCTTCCCAGCAGAATCGAATGAAAGACCCTACTGTAAGAGGGGGTGGCGTGTTGCTCGTGTGAAGCTGGAAAGGTGCTTTCTCTACGGGCACACCCTCCCCAAGGCGGCAGCACTGAGCAGAATCAGAAAACCCCCGGAGGCTTGCGGGGGCCCAAGCCAGCCCAGAGAGGGGTGGGCAGGCAGGACGCTCCAAGGCCAGCTCCACCCTGCTGGTCAATGTGCACGAAGTGAGCAGGGCCTCTGCCCTGCCAGAGACACAGGCTCAAGTCCTGGGAGCAGCCTGCCTGTCTTCCCTGTCTGCTGTGTGCAGAGATGCTTGTGTGTGAGCTGACTCCCTACACAGGAAGAGGAGCCCTGTGGAGCCATTTGATGCCCCCTTTTGACATGAACTACATCAAACACAGCATGTGATTCACTGGATACGGACAAGAAGCACCCTGGCCCTCCAGGGACTTGCCCGTGCTGGGAGGGGACTCGTACCTGGTTTCACCATGAGCACTTTCTGCGATATGAGAAGCTTATGTTCCCAGGGGCAATGTCTGCCTCTGGAAAGAGAAGGCAGCCCTGCTAGGACAGGAGGTGCTCAGGTGATGGCCAGTCATCTGTGAAAAGATCCACCAAATGCCCCTTTTGTTTGAAATAAAGTTGGGGGTGACAGCTCGCCCTCAGAACAACTGGGGATTCTTTGAAATCTAAGTGATGACAAAAGAAATGAAGGCAGAGCACACGTTGTTTTTGAGATGAGGGCAGCACGTTGTCTAGGGACCCCAGCCTCTTCCTTCCCGCCCAGGGATGGGGGGAGAATGACTGGCACCTGCTGCTCCCTGCCACCTCCTGGTTGGTCAGTAGAGGGCGCTGTGCCACCGCTCTCCTGCAGCCCAGGCGGCAGCATTTGATCCAGAGGCAGCATGCACACAAAGACCACACTGGAAGAAGTGTTTCTAGTGTTTGTGGCTTAATAGGCCACGAGAAAACAGAGCAAGCCACCAGCTTGCTATTACATGCTATATCATCACCTATGTAAAAAGCACACAGAAAAAAGGTCCTGAAGAAAATACAACAAAAGGTTATGAGCATTCACTCACTGGAAGTGGAATTTGTTTTTCCATTATTTTCTACATTCTGCCAATTTTCTACAAAGCTGTATTTCTCTTGCAATTGAAAAAACCCTACAGTGCCCAAGGACTGGGGAGTCATCTGGAGGGGCTACAGAACAGGGTCCTTGTGAATTCGTGCCAGGATCCAGCAGCGTGCTGGGGACATAATAAGGGACAAGACCCGGTTCCCACCCCTGCCCCAGAGGGGCAAAAGCACAGCCCAGCATGAAAGAGCAGAGCCCAGCCCAGGGGCTCCGGGAAAGCTTCCTGGGAGAGGAGACCCAGGGCGGGGGTGCAGGGCACACGATGCACAGAGGCCCAGAACAGGACAGCAAGAGGAGGCTGCCCAGTGGGCCTGGGGGCTGGGAGACAGAGGCAGGAAACCTGGGAGCTGGACAAGGAGGCCCAGAGTCTAAGGAGGAGCTCCGCCCTTACCCTGTAGGTTGCTGCAAACACTGCACCACACCCACCTCCCGAGAGAAGGCTGTCAGTTCCTTTTCTGGGGGATTGAGAGAGACCCCGACACCTCAAGGAACTAAACAGCACACTCCCCTTTCCTAAGTCTTCCGTGCCAAATTCAAATCAGTCATCGGCATTTCATTTGTTGTCAAGTCAAAGATATCAGATAGGAAAACATTATCCCAAACACCCCCAAGCCCCATAAAAGGAAGAACCCCTAATGGATCAAGAGGCACCCGAAGCTGTGCCACCACCTGCATATCGCCACACGGCGAGAGAGGACAGTGTGGCACAGACAGTGGTTTTCACCTGGAAGCATTAACACACCTTCAAAGACCCTACTGCACACGGGCGGACTTAACTCAGCCAAATTAGAATACATTTTATATTGACTATTTTGACATTTGTTTTATTTGGCAAGTAAAACAAAACTGATCCAATTTCCTTGCAGCCATTGTAAACCATAAACTGTACAACAGAGGTTATAAAATATATAAGCCTTATAAACACTTTGTTCTGATGCGCTACCCTACAACTCTGCCTGGCCCCAGTGGCTGGGCGTCCAGGGCCACCTGCTTTGGTTGCCAGTGACCCTGCCCTCCTGCTATGGGACAGCACTGTCCCCACATCACCTGGGAGCTCTGGTGCTCCTTGTTTATCCAGCAGTTTAACACCTTTCCTGAGGTGGTGCTCACCCTGGGCCCTTCCAGGCCCTGTGATGTCAACAAGGGGCCACTCTAAGTACCTCAGAGCAACAGAACCCCGGGCTCTACAACCCCTACAAGCAGCCCAAACTAGAGCCGACATCAAGCATGAACTCTAGTCCAGGTGATGGACTGAGATGACATCCCTGGCACAGGTATGGGCCTCAGCTAGCCTGAGCTCTGCTGATGGTGACCCTCAGCAGTGCCCTCCAAGACAGAGCTATGACAATGCTGTTGGCCAGCCAGAAAGTAAGAAACAAGTACTGCCAGCCTCGCACTCCTGAGCGGGGGGGAGACGTGGCTGCTCAGCCCGCAGCTCTGGGAAGCCCACTAGCTCTCCACACCTGTTTGTACCAGGGAAACTGCAAACTGCGTCCAGAGCTTCAGGCAGTTCAGGAGTAGTCTAGTTTAAATTCCAACCTTCGTTGATGAAACTGGAGGAAGACAAGAGAGTCCTTGGAGCTGAGGGGTTCCTTACAGTGGCCCAGCATGGAGGAACAGCAGCAGAGGGGGAGACTGGAGGTGGGGGGGGTGGTGTGGAGCCCAGGAGTTCGCCCCGACCCGAGTCTGTTTTGCTCTGCTGCGGCAAGGCTCTGCTCGGCACTCACCCCTGCGTGCTGTCTGCGGCAACCTTCTTTGTTATGTTGGCCCCCAGATGCCGTGTCACCAACCTTCCTGCTTTACCCACTGCTGCAATCCTAGTCGTCATGGCTATTTGTTCGCGGCCCTCAAACTATTTACTTCTAGTGATGCAAAGGGGTTGTGTCTGATGCGGCTCTGTTTATTTTCTGCTTTTCGCAAAACGTGTGGAGAGAATCACTCCATCTTTTGGGACTGAAACCAGCTGCAGAGCACCCAGTTCCATTAACCACGCGTCTCTGTGGGTCAACCATTAAAATCAGCACCATCTCCTGAGAAGCTTCCCACTTGCTTCTAAAATCCAAGGTACCTACTTCTCAGTCTGGGGCTCACTGGGAAGGAACAACATGAAAATGAACAGAGTTGCCAACCGGCCCTCCTGGGTCACAGAGGACTGGCCGGCTGAGGAAGAGAATCTGCCCTTTGGAGGCAGGTGACTCCAGCCATGTGGTCACCACGCCCATGTCTGCACATCTCTTGAGTTCCTTCAAACAGAAAGACAATTTCAGTTGCATATGTTGTTTTAGGACCCTGCATCATGTGCACGGGAGACAGGAAGGCCTTTCCATTCATGTCATGCACAGATTTCTAACTGGGCTTTTAAAAAATCTCCTCTAGAGGCACAAGTTTAAACTAAACTTGCACAAGTGCTCAGTGACACCGTGCACTATTTCATCAGACATTAAGCAGGTGTGTTTTAAAACATGCCTCAGAACCCAAGACCACGTGAGCAAGCACATCGGACAACCCGACCAGGCCTCACCTGGGGAGGTTGGGGGCTGGGGTGGAGGCGGCCGAGGACTGCGAGGGTGTTGTGGGTTGAGATGAGTCGTGATTTCTAGGCACTCTGCCCATTCGATACCAGATCCCCATGCTGTTCAGTTCCCTGCAGGAGAAAAGAGAAATCTTCATGGCGCTGTTTAGCCTGGAGCACGAACCTGAGCCACAAAGCAAACCAGTCACTGCCTCAAACCCCAGAGGTCAGTTGTTGCCCAAGTGACAGGTCCCATCACTGCACCTTCTGCCCTGGGCCTCACAGCGAGAGCACCTGTGCTGCAGGGCCGTCTTACCCGTCTGGGCTGGCCTCCCACTGCAGCTGTGTCTTCCTCGCCTCTCACTCTGAACTGCTTTCTATTTTACCCTCCCAGGATCAGTAGCTTTGTGACACCCCTAGCAAATCCCCCTGTTAGGGAGAGGCTGATGGAAGAGTAGTCCCATGGATGAGCATGCCTGGGTTTTAACCAGGAGAGGGATCTCTCCACCTACCCTAAGATGCACCCCAGTTTCAGGAGGCAACTCCTCACACGGATGTCACCTGCATTGGCTTCACCCCAAGATCAGCTGAGAAGATGACTTCAAACCACAAAACCCGAAGCACATGCCCCACAAGCCACCACTAGAGTGGACATGCACATGACATTTCCTGCTACTAGTGTGACAGCCACAGTGGCCCAGCCCACACCACAAGGCCATGCTTATGAGACAGGTGCACCCTTGGGAACTTCACAGTACTATTTCAGTCACATCCAACTTCTCCATTGCCCTGCAGAACATGCACAAGAGACAGGACCATCTTTGGGACCAGAAAGAGAGGAAGACCACCTCTTCAAAACATGAAAAAAAATATTCTGTAGATATTTTTGGTAAGGTTTTCAGTGCACCCCACAACTATTCTGAACCTCAATTCTAATTTCAATCAATGATTTGCAATGATCTCACTGCATCGGGGCCCCAGCCTCAGGGGCTTTGAGGAAGCCCTCTTGAATGTGAGGTTTGTGCCTCCTGGGTGGATGGCCCCGCGCCCTGTGAAGCCACATAGGAAGTGTGCCTATTTTGAAAAATAAGTGACTCTGGGGCTGGGGTTGTGGCTCAGCAATACAGCGCTTGCCTAGCACGTGTCAGGCACTAGGTTCCATCCCAACATCACATAAAATAAATAAATAAAGATATTGTGACCAACTACAACAAAAAAAATAGTAAAAAAAAAAAAAATAAGTGACTCTGTTCTGAACACTGAGTTCTCTTCCCTTACTTAAAACTAACATTGGAATTGTCTTCCCTTGGGAAAGAATTTTTGGCCCAAGATGAAATGAAACTACACTTTAACGTTTTTTCAAAATGATAGGGGAAAAGACTCTAGTTTTGATTATCAAGGCAAGCATTAGTAAAAACCTATTCTTCAGACTTGTTTCAATTGGTTAAAATTACATCTTCTTACAGTAGCATAGTTGGTAATTAAAAATACTAAAATTAGATTTTGAAAGTTCATTACAAAATTGTTGGTTTCTACCACTTGCAAGTAACTGCACGCCGGTACTGACCTGTGGTAATTCCCGTACCTGGTTCTTACTCCTGCAATCCTACCTCTGTAATTAAACGTTGCTGCCAAACAGGAAGTCTGAGAGTATAAAGAAAGGAGCGATCGCAGAGTCCATTTGTTTTTGTCTGTCTTCTATGTGTTGGTGCTGGGACTGAACCCAGAGCTCGTGCGTGCTAAGTCAGAGCTCACCTCGCAGCTACACTCCCAGCTCGAGTTCCTGCTAAGAACCACAAAGCCTAGATCCCGAGCATCAGTGTCCCCAGCTGAAGCGTGAAGAAAGTGCTGCTCACGCACACGGCAGCACGCACGGCCACCTCGGTGGCTGTGGCCATGCCATGTCTGCGGGAGGGAAGGCCCTGCTTAGAAAGTGACGGCAGCTCTGGGCTCAAGTGAACAAGAGCAAGACAGAGTACAGACCACCCGAGGCTGACCTCGGCCAGGCGGAGGGTGCTCCCTCAGTGACAGGAGTACCTGGCCAGGGGCAGCAGCACGGGGCCCAAGAGCCAACCCTTGGGCACACGGCTCCCGAGATCCCCTTCCACTGATGGAGCACAGCACACGTCCACCTTCTGGATGTCTAGCACCTATTTCCTCCCCTTGCTGGCCCTCCCCTCGCTGTTCATCCTTGAGTTCCAGTGGAGCTGACCCTGCTTCTGGTTCAGCCGGGGCCATCAAAGACTGGCATCTTCCCGATACCAGTGTCCAGGTAAGGGTGCCCCAGACCCTAGTTAGATCAGTCGGACAACGAGACTGAACTCCAGAGCTTCTGTGTGAACTACCAGGAACGTGGGTGAAGGCGTGCACCCTGATGCTTCCCCCAGAGATCAGGTATCAGATGGGGTCCTCCAGAGGACTCTAAGCAAGGAGGAAGACGTCCTGGGCATCCTGGGAAACCCTCTGACCACTGAAGTCAATCTGCCCAGAGCTCTTCTGCTGTGCCAGGCAACAAATTCTTCCTTTTGCTCAAGCTACCTGGGTTGGGTTTCCTGTCACTTACAATCAAAAGAGCCCAGAGCTGGGCACGGTGGCACACGCCAGTAATCCGAGCGGCTCAGGAGACTGAGGCAGGAGGATGGAGAGTTCAAAGCCAGCCTCAGTAATGGTGAGGTGCTAAGCAACTCAGTGAGACCCTGTCTCTAAATAAAATACAAAATAGGGCTGGGGATATGGCTCAGTGGCCGAGAGCCCCTGGGTTTAATCCCTGGTACCACAAACAACAACAAAAAGAGCCCAGAGTGAAACCTGCGATTTCATGAGAGTTGGTATTTATGACGTGGCTCTGGGGCCAGCCCTGGTGCTGCAGCTGTGGGTGAACCTGACACAACCTGGCCCTGGCCCTGGCAGTTCCCTGCTCATCAGCAAAGACAAACAGCTGGTCCAAAACTGCACAGTGAATTATCAGGGCTACTACTTGTGTTTCTTCCTGACTCAGACTATCTGACGGCTTCCCACTGGGATAAAACCCAGACAGCCCCTACGTCCTGGAGCCCGGCAAATGGCTTCCCTCACAGCCCCCACACCCTGTCCCTCCATGTCTGCTCCGGCCACACAGGGATGCTTCTGTTCCCAGAACACAGACGCTCAGTCCCACCTGCCTACAGCTTGCTGGCTCGGTCTGCTCATGTCCACGGTTGGACTCTTTGACACTGAGTCTCTGGTGCAATGCTGCTGCTCTGACTCCCTCACTGAAGCAGCCCATGCCTCACCGAGTCCTGTTTTCTTGACCATCTGAAATCATCTCTTTTCTTGTTTGTTGTGTGGTGAGGACGGGGTCTTCCCCTTGCCTCTGCACACACAGGGCCTGCTCTCACACAGGAGGGGCACACCATAAATCTGCAGAGGGATCAGGGGGCCTGGGTGGCTGCACAGGACAGGGAAAGGGAGGTCCAGATGCGACAGTCCGCACCAGGCGAGGCACAGGGAGGCCAAAGGCCTGCCAAGCTGCACAGCTGCAGCACAGCAGGAGGGCAGAACGAGGGCCCGGGCTGGGAGGGCCTCACCCGAGGAGCGTCCGAGCACTCACAACGGACAGCAGCAGATGACACCTGTGTTATAAACTTACCCAATAAACGTGTACTGAGGAGGGGCCTGCTTGGTCCGGCCCATGATCCGAATGTCACAGATGGCAGCTTCAGTGGAATCCCGGGGGATGAATTTGATGCATAGCCTCTTCTTTCTAAAAGCCACCTCCTCTAAAGGAAAGGACCACAGAGAAGACATGAGTTTTGCAGAGATGTCCCCTTGGCCTCTGCACATCTTCCCGGGCGGCAGGATGGACAGCTCCACCCTGCCTTCCCAGGGCCACAGGCTATGACAAACAAGTGCACAGTCACACTGCCCCACATCTAGGACCTGACCCCATATGTGCCCGGCCTGGGGCAGCTGAAGGCCAGGACCTCCATCTGCAGAGGCCCACCGGGGAGGCTAGGCACCTGCGCATTCCACCACACAGGGTTCTCTTGCTCACATTTTATTATAGACATCCTGGAACCCACCCAGGGTGGAGGGAACCACAGGAAGAACCCCTGTGCCTCGTCACTCGGCTTCATGCTGCTGACCATGGACAGGCCAGTTCCAACTTTCGGCCACCCAAAATCTAGCTGGATCTTCAAAATGAGTCCCTGATGCCACATCCCATCCCATGTCATCATCTTGGCAGGAATTTAATCAGATGCCTCTTTTCTACAGGACCACATGCCATGACCACTCCTGATGAAACCAGCGAGGCTCCCGTGGCAGCCGATGGGGCCCATGTTCAAGCTGCACCATTGGCTGTTCTGGATCCTGCTCCAGACCATGTCTGTGCATCACATTTGGTCACAGGTGCCTGGTCCCTTTTGTGCTCCACAGACCTGCCCATGATCCTTTTCTTGAGGGCATGGGCAGCCCAGGGAGATGGGCTGTCCCTCCCATTGCTGTGAGATGATGGGGCTGAAGGCTGGACTGGGCTCAGGCCAACCTTCAGGAGAGGCCACCTCACAGGCAGTATGTGTCCCCTTCAGTGTTGCATCTTGGGGATGCTTCCCCGGTTTTGCTGGGGACCCTGCTCACAGAGTCCCCAAGTGCAGCTCTGGAAGTCATTTCCTTATCACCAGGTGCTACTGCTAAGACCTCTGAGGGTTTCCCAATGGTGCCTTCTGACTCTGCGCTGGCTAGCTGGAGGTCTTCTGCATCAAAACAACCTTTCTTCATCAACTATTTGGTTTTCCCTTTTATGGGAAAGGAAGGACACAGCTGGCAATTCTTTCCTCTCACTTTTCAGGTCTTGGTGCAGTACGGTGATGCCCTCGCAGCCCTGGGTGGTGTCCTTGCAGCCCTGGGTGGTGCCCTCGCAGCCCTGGGTGGCCGATGCAGTGTGAAGCTGCTCATTTGTGCTTCTGAACATGGGTTCCAGACAGCCCGTGAGGAGGCTGGATTTGGTTGACTTCCGCCACTGCTGTGCTGTGGCTCTGTGGCCTTAGGAGCACCCTTACATCCTCTGAGCCCTGTTTCATCATCTGTGGGAGGGAGCTGGCAAAGCCCAACCTACTGGGGACATCAGGTGGCTGTGAGTGGTGACAAGTACCATTCACCTGACCTGCCCTGGCACACGGGAGGCTTCAGTAAAGATAAACCACGAGGAAAATTCCATCAAAATCACAGTCGGTCCCGGTGTAAGCGTAGCATCTGTGCTTGGTGTTGACCTTCAGGCCGTCCAGTTCCGGGGCGGGAAATCTGCACTGACAGCACATTCAAACTTGGGAACAGATGGGGAGGGGGTCCTGCCCTATATAGCCATGGTGCTGCTTGGTGGCTGTTAGCTTTTAGGATGAGGGGGGAGTTTTGTTTTTTTTTTTTTTTTTACAAAGAACTAGATTGAAACTCCTGTGGTTCCTTCCACAGGTGCAGAAGCCGAGGGCTGGGTCAGACCTGGAAGTCAAACAGCCTCCCGAATCCAGACCCAGAGCACTGTGTCCAGCAAGGCAGGAATGGTGCCCTGGGCTGGGGGTCACACAACCCTGCACCTTCAAAATCTGTCAGCTGCCAAGGTCAGCCTTTGAGAGCATGAGGGGAGGCCACTCCTCAGGGGCACCCCAAGTGCAGGTGTCCTACGGGCGGCTGCCACTCAGCTCCTGACCGTGCTCCCTTCCTGGCTGCCGCGGTGCGGGGTGAGGAGGGGCCGCTCGCTCACACGCTGAAGCAGGCCTAATTTTAAGTAAACATATTCTACATAGTCAATAGAAATGTGTTCAGTCATGCTAATGAACACAGAGAAAGTACACAGCACTTTACTAAACAAACACTCTTCCGGTTTTTAAGTGCTATATGACTGCAACAAACTGTGTTTTAAATTAATTACAGGAGTCTGGTCTGTTTGGCTGACTTTATGAAATCAGGGCCTTGAATACACTCATATGACACAGGACTGACCATAAAGCTCTCCTGTCCCCTGGGCAGAGCTCCAGGAAGTAGCCCCATGATGGGAAGTGAAGAGGCTCCCTTGACCCAGCCTCCTATGCAATAAGGCACCCGAGGGAGACCTGGGTCCTGACCCCAGAATGTCCATGGCTGGACAATGCCCAATGCAGCCCAGACATGGGGACAGCCGTCCCCGATAGGGCACCTGGCCCCCCATCGCCAGACCATGGGCTCTGATGGGGCTGTGCCCTGGACCCCCCAATGAGCTGGCTCAATAAGAGGAAAACGCAGGATGGGAAACCCTTGTGGCTCTGCAGTGTGTCAACATAGAGACACTGTAGGTCAACTCCTTGTCAAAAATGAAAACCAGTGCAAATGGTGAAACTAAAGAGAGCCGGGGAGAAGTGGGAATTGTGCCCGTCTCTGAGTCAGTCTCAGTCTATAGGCAGTTGCTTCACATGAGACGGAGCAAAAGCAATAAGCCAACCCCTCTGAAGTGTTCAGCTCGCCAGCGAGGAACGCAGTGAGGTCACTACAATTGAAATAGTAAAACTCAATAAAAAACTGAAAGCCTACGCTGACGCAGGCCTGTGGAAACCAAGCCCAAGCTCACATCACCAGTGGAACTGTGGACGGGGGTTCTGGACGTCCACCTGGCAACAGAGAGCAACAAAGCTCACCTTCCCCGAGGCCGCGCTGCATGCAAAGCGCCACGTGGGGAGGTGCGGTAGTTCAGCTAGGAGGGCCCCCAAGGCTTCTGTGGGGGACAACACAGGAACTTCAGGAGTAGAAGGCTTAGCTGAGGAGAGCTCAACCTCATCATTGTCTCCCCCATGGTAGGTTGAACTGGTGGTCACTGTGGGCAGGTAGGGGGTGGCTGGAGGAAGCAGGTCACTGGGGGGTGCCCTCGGGGTTCATATATTGTCCCTGGTGAGAGGACCTCTCTGCTTCCTGGTGCCATGTCCTGAGCTGCCTTCCTTTGCCACAGCCTCTGATGTTCTGCCTCACCCCCGCCCAGGGCCAGGGCCAGAGATGATCTAAACATGATCTGTCCTAAAGAAACAGACGAGTGGCAAAGGCAGGGAGGCACGTGTGTGGCTGTCATGCATCAACCAGCATCACAGAGTCAGTTCACATCCTTCTCCGTGGCAGGGAGGTTTTAACTGAGGCCCAGGAGGGAGAAGGATCTACCTGGAGCCCACAACTTCAAGGACAGTGCCAGTCTGTCCATCAGTGAGACAGACTCCAGAGTCCGGGGTCCTCCACCTACACCATGTGGCCATTTGTCCCAACAGAGGTGAAGGCGGGAATTGGGAGGTGGAACCAATGGCTCTCCTTCCGCTCCTGCCACTGCTGGCCTTGGCCCGCCCCTCCCCAGCCTCAGCAAGCTGCGCTGTGCCAGGGTGTGCACGGCCCCGGACAGGTCACGCTGGCTGCAATGCAGACCTCTGTTGCAGCCTGGCCCTCCACAGGACTGTGCTCCCTGAGGGACGGTGCTGGTCACCATCTCTCCCGCTGGAGCCTGCAGCGCCTGACCCTGGCTGTGTGGAGGGAGCGCTGGCTTCCTTCCAAGTGGGATCTAGGATCAGAGGCGGTTTCCTGCAGCGGGCACCCTGATGCTCACTCAGGGTGTGGACTTTTCAAGTGGAGGAAAGGGAACTGTGGGCAAGGGGAACGGCAACCCAAACTCCTGGAGCCCCGAGAGAAAGGGGCACCGAGGGGAGACAGGTGGGGTCTGCAAAGAGTCTGAGCACTGGGACACAGGGACTGGCCTGGAGAGTCAGAGTGGAGGCCGACTGTGGACAGGACGTCCTCTAGAACCCCACGCACCCCAGCCACGACAGAGCAACACCAGCCCTGCCAACCACCCTGGCTTCCTTGCAGAAACTGACAAGCTAATCCCAAAATGCATGTGGCCACTCAAGAGACCCAGAATGGCCAAAACCACCTTGAAAATGAACAGAGGTGACAGAGTCATGTGTCCCATCTCGAAACTTGCTATGAAGCTCCAGTAATTGAGACTGTGCAGAGACATAGGGGATGGAACCAGGTCCAGAAAGAACACGCTGCACTCACGGTCAGCGCCGCTCCACAGGGTGCCGACACAATCCAATGTGGAAGAGTAGTCCTGTCAACAAATGGGCAGGGACAACTAGATCGGCCCAATATAATAAAGCTGGACCCTAGCTCATAAAAATCAGCTAAATATGATCAGACCTAAGTGTAAGAGCTAAAATGATAAACTCTTAGAAGAAAACTTAGGCGTAAAACTTGGTGACCTGGGTGGGATTGGGCAGTGGCTTCTATGACACTAAAAGCACAGCCACTAGATAAGCAGAGCTCCGGCAGAGGTGGAGTTCATGTTTCAAGGGCACCATCAAGAACATGAAGAGAAAAACCACAAAATGGTTGAAAATTTTTGCCAATCATCTTCTGTTAAGGAACTTCTACTTAAAATACTCTTACAACTCAATAATAAAAGACAACCCATTACCAAGTGAGTGAAGAATTGTAAGGGATGTCTCTGCAGAGCGGGTATGTGAGTGGCCAACAGCACCCCGGGCACTAGGGAGGTGGAAGTCAAGACCACAAAGAAACCTCACGTGGCCCCCACGAAGATGGCTGGAAACAGAAGGACTGACAGACAAGCGTGTCAGACATGGAGAAGTCAGAGTTTCACGCACAGCTGATGGGAACATGAAATGGTGCCACTGCCCTGAGAAACAGCTTGGTGTCCCCTTAAAAGTGAAGCACAGAGACACAGTGACCCAGCAACTGGGCACAGACCTGAGAGAACTGAAAACGTGTCTATTCAAAAACCTGTGCACGAACGTTCCCAGCAGTACTGTCATAACAGCCTCAAAGTAGGAACGACCCAAACTAGCAGCCGAGTGAGTTACCAAAACCGGACACCCGTCGGGTGGTGTGTTTGGCAATGGAAGCTGGAGCTCGGGGCCATGGTGCCACCTGCTCCGGCCTTGAACACGTCCCGCGGAGGAAAGAAGCCAGACACCCAAGACAAGGTTCCACCCACAGGAAACACACAGGGTAAGCAAATAAGTCAGAAAGCAGATCTGAGCGGCCATCCAGGAGTGCAGGGGGTGGCGAGGGCTGGAAGCAGTGGACAGCCTTGGCTAGGGGTCCAGATTTTCCTTTGTGGTGATAAAATTGAGAGTGGTCTGTAAATATTCTAAAAAAATCACTGAATCGTACTTAATGGGTGAATTAAATGATGTTTGAACTGTATCTTAATAAGGTTGTTAAAAAAAACCCTCTGCATAAATATATGAAATCTATCTGTACAAGACAGTGGTACTGTGATTAAAAGTGGCCGAGACAGACTGGAGTGTGCACCTGGTATTGTGTGCACAGTGGTGGGAGGCACTAGGGACTGAACCCATGGGCGCTCTATCACTGAGCTATAACCCCAGCCCTTTTTAATCTTTATTTTTACATGGGGTCTCACTAAGTTGCTAAGGCTGGCCTTGAAACTTGCCATCCTCCTGTCTCAGCCTCCTGAGCTGCGGCACTGCGTGGGTTCCCACCTCTAAATGTGCGTGTGAGACTTTGCTAAATTCTTTGAACCCTAAATATTTACTAGAACTCATTTTTTATATGCAAAATGGGTGTAATGATACGGATCTCTAAAGAGGGGTCTTTTGAACATGAAACGCTGTCAGGGAGGTAAACCCCAGGGCTAATGCATGGCAAACACACGGTCCACACCAGCCAGCGAGAGGGTAGCTTGTATAACATGACGACGACACTAAAAATGACCTGGAGTTAAAAGTGAGGCCACTGAGAAGGAAGATAAGGCCAAACGGCAGGTTCACCTGCTTCACTGAAACAACAGTTGCCGTGGGTCCACACAGAATGCCAGCAGGAAAATGACAACAGGCCAACTGGGACCAGCACAGAAAAGTGGAATGCGCATGACAAAGAATGAGAACTGAGCTTCTTCATAAGTGACCTGGGGTCACGCAAGAGGCTGAGAGGGTGTGCCTGCTCCTCCTTCCCTGCTCCACCTGGTGGGCACGGCACACCCAAGGAGAACGAGGAAACTCCAGTGCCCAGAGCTTTCTAGCCCTGCCTACCACCACCGCCACCGGACCATAGGTGCCCAGCGTCCCGAGGCAGCTCTGTCCATCAGCAGGTCACTGATGCTCAGTGCTCCTTGGTGGTCAGGGTATTCAAAGCCGGCTCCGGTGTGTGCTTGCCCGGGGTTATTCTGGTTCTCACTGGTGTTGTTGGCTTTCCGAGCCCCCAGTGGACACAGGGCTGCATGTGAATCCCCTGGGCATCTTTGATTCTCCTCTTGAGCTCCTGGTCTCGGGTGGAGCCTGGCTTCAGCAGCACGACCGTCACCAGCTCCGCACTCTGACCTGGCTAGGCCAGCTCTGGGGCCACCCGCTGAGGGAGAGGGGCCTCTGCTTACTTACAGGCTGCCCAGGATCTCTGCCAGCCCTGGGGAAGCAAGGAGGACGCACGGAGAAAGCAGCAGACACTGTCCATGGGCACACAGTAGGACCTCCTAAATGTTTCCAAAGAAAAACGCACACAAAAAATCCCTCAGATGCTACTTGGGGGAAGAAAACTCGCGTGAGAAGCAGCGCTAAAGGGAGACTCACGTGTGTCCACCGTCTCCTGCATCGGGATGAAGCCCACGGGCAGCGTGTCCTTGATGTCAATGAGCTTCATGTCCACTAACACGTTCCCCAAATGACTCTTGGGAAGAAAGAGAGACACAGACTATTAGGCTGAGCACGCCTGCAGCAGGTTCGCCATTTTGGCTTCAAGATGCACATTTAACACAATGACTTGTACAGCTTTACGACAGTAGGTTAATTAGAGGAGGTGACACTTAATGTTCCCTAGCGGTTACGAAGGGACTCAGTGGCCTCCGGGAAGGAGTTTCATCTGCAAAACTTCAAAGCTATTCACTCAGACTGGCCTTGGTTAGCCAGGTGGGCCACCCAGCAGACGATGTGGACAGAACCCAGCAGAGGGCAGCTGTGCACACCAGTCCCTGGGCCTGGCTGCCACTCAGCCCGGAGCACCAGATCTCAGGGCAGTAGGTTTTAGAAACAGCAGATTCCTGGGCACCTGCATGGGAAGAGCTGCACCTAAACTGAACAGGGAACCCATCAGACTCCTGAGCAATCACCAGCCTGCTACCGACACACATTTCGGTCGCTAGATACATTTAGCAAAATCCCAGGGATGGTAAACTAACACGGCTGCCTCAGCACCGCACGTCTTCTAACACGACACGCACGACGGCCTCTTAAGCTCCTGCTTAGTGCTGGTATTTGGGGTCCACAGTGCACGGTTTCCGTAACCAGTGTGGACACATCTTTCTGAGACAGAGCGCCATTCTGTACCTGCAGGAGAGAATGCTCTTGAGCACACTGGCACTTGCAACCTGTACTTCATGCTGGAAACAGCCCTAAAGAAATCTGCCCTGCAACTTAAACACACAGGACCACCACTGAGGTTCTTAACATCCTCGGAGTCACCGCAGCCTTGTTCCCCTCTCTCTAGTCAGAGTCAGTTACAGAGGGAATGATGGGTTCCCATCCCAAATCCCTCCTGTTAGGATCCCAGCAATACACCCTGCACCCTGCTTCCTATGGACGTGCCTCGCCCCCGAGCCCAGCATGAGCACACTCTCGGTGTACTTCTCTGTGTCCCTGGACCAATGTCCAGGTGGTCAGCGCGTGACTTTGGCCTCAATCTCTCAGGCTACTGTCCCCATCGTTTAGTGAAGAAGGGTCTTGGCCCCACTGTGTGCAGGGCCACCTCGGCCTGCACAGTGCTGGGCCTGTGAGAAGCCACGCGGGAATCCTCACGCCCTATCTGAGCCGCGCTCTCTGGAGGTGTTCTTTTCCCTCATGTCAATCACAATCGTGTATTTGTGAGGCTGTGTGCTTGATATCTGCCTCTCCCCTGGGGTTTAAGGACCACAGGGACCTCTGCTCCATAGCAGATCGCAGCCTAGCATGGCGCCTGCTCAAGGGAGGTGGTCACTAATGATTCACTGAATAAATTAATGTGTTTGTACTTTTTTTTTTCTTTTTGATACATTTCTTTCAACTGAGTGGGGCATGGAGAGTCAGAAATCAAACTGGATTTGCTTAGAGGGAAAATCTAAACCATATCATAAAAATCATGAAAGTATGTTTAACAAATGCATCATAAATCAAAAGTGAACAAATAAAATAAATTCTTCAAATTGAAACACGAAGGTCAAGTGGCTAGTGTAACCTACAACCGGTGTTTTCATGGCCCTGCCAGCACCAAGCCCTTCTCCCTCTCTGCACCACGTGCTCACCAAGCCCGAACACGGCGTGGTCTCAGGGAGCTGGGCCTCAGTAAGACAATGCACAGAGCGGCCCAGTGAGTGCAGAGGGGCCCGCGCCGCATGGAATAAATCTCTGAGCTCGCAGGAGGGGTTTGAACCGTTAACCTGACTCACGAACATCAGCTGCTTCCAGAATCGCCTGATCTAATCTGTCATCATTTTTTTTCATGGCAGTTGCTTTTCCACGTCGTCACTGCTTTCTGCATTGAGGAATTAACAACCGGGCATGTTTGCTGCCCCATAGATGGATGGGAATTCATCAGTATCCTTCTCAAATGTCTCCTCCTTGACAAGTTGGGCTTCCAGAAGTCAACTGCAAACCACTTAGCGACCTCGCCCTCCACACTCTCTACAAATGTCCCCGGTCATAAAACCAGAGCATCAGTGGTGCGGCCATTAAAAGGAGCCCGGGAGAATCCTTCTGTGCATGCAAAATGGGAGGCTGCACCGTGGATGCTTCCGCAGCCCAAGTGGCCCTCCGCACACAGGGCTGGGGCTGCCACTGTTCAGGGTTTAATACGGTAGGTCTGCGACACCATTAATTTTGCTTGTTCCTCTCCCCTCCCCCACCCGTGCTCTCTTTCATTTCCTCCTCATAAATATGAAGAACGTATTCCCAATCCTTGTTGAGCAAATGATTCATGCCAAAAGCCCAATATGCACTGACTCAGGGTATTTATATTGTCTCTGGTAGCCAGTATTTGCTAGTATACTGTAATTATTTTTGACAACCTTGCATTTAAGGTAGCCACAGATAACCAACTTAATATTCAAATGTTCATAAATCCTTCTGTTTAATATCCTCCCTACCTAATCTATGTACATTATTATTACAGGTAATGCAGAAAGTACAGGGCATGAAAAGTGCAATTAATCTCGATCCTTCCCCAGGAAGCAATGTCACTCCAAAGCCAGGTTTCTGTATTAATAGCATTATTGGGGGAAAGGAATTTAGGTTCCAGAGGAGGCTCCCAAAACTCCTACATTGGGAGTCTCAAGTCGCCTAATTAAGACTCTGCCCAGTCTGGAGATCCCACACCCTCCTGCACGGCTGTAAAAGCCGCACTCTGCACAGCCCTCGCCACACTGCGGGACCAAGACGGATGACTGTAAGGACCAAAGCTCACCCGGCTCCTGCCTCACTCTGGGGCAGCAAGTGGCCCTGCCACCTCCGGATTTGATCCCAAACCAAATTCAATCTATTGATTTGATCATTTGGAACCCATACAGGACCCATTCATTCTTTTTCCAAAAATGAAACGCACCTGCTCCTCACACTGCTGGGGGCGGGGTGGGGGCTGTCCCGCTGCCCTCGGCCTCTCCCTACCCGTCGCACCGACACTCAGCTGCTCGGTGACCAGCCAACAGTGAGGAAAGCAACACACCTTCTATAAGACACTTACTCAAGACACCCAAAACAAACAAGGCCCTGTGACTTCTTTGTCATGTCAAAGTCCAAGGAACCAAAAGTGATCACAGAGCTGTGACCAGGAAAGAAGACCTGGAAAGCAGCAGGGGACAGAGGGCATGAACAGTGTTCCTTCAAGTCCTCGGGAGCCTTTCTTGCAGTCCCAAGCCTCAGTAGCACACTGACCTCCTGCAGGAAGCAGCAAATGGGATGGTGGACAGAACAAAGGTGACAAAAGCTAAAAATAGAACTAGTTTCAAAAAGAGTGTAGGTCAGCCCCAGGGACAAAGGGCAGGAAGAGCGCCCTGGGGGGGAGGGGGCAGTGAGGAAGCTCTAGGATGCGTGCCACCCCCAGCCCCATGAGCCTAACATCTGGAAAGGCAATGCCACCTCCTGGCCTGCTCCGTGGTGTCCCTCAGGCCACAGTGAGCCCGAGGCAGCCGTGTGGACAGGCTGCCAGCTCACGGTGAGGCGTCCCCCAGCTCAGCTGCTACCTTCCTGGTATTGAAAATGTGTTCAGAAGATTTCCAGCACTTAGTGCCAGGGCTTTCCCTACTGCATTATAAGCTCAGTACATTACAACCAGCAAATATGTTGCTCTTGAAGGTGGGGAAACCTAACCAAGTTCTGAACACTTTAGAAGCAATTCTCCCAACAAAGAACAGGAACGGGTGGAAGAGGGTGAAAGCCAGAGAGCTGGATGGCCCACCTGGGGCCACACTGGAAGGGACACACCCAGGTGCGTGACATGGCACCAGGCTGAGGGCTATGATGGAGAGGAAGACTCCTCCCTGCCCAGGCCTCTGAGTGACGGTGTTTGAAGTCATTGTTATGGCTTGGTTTTGTTTTTTTAACCATGAACATACATTACTATTTAGCAAAGTTTATAAAAATAAGTTTGGTAAAATGTTTAAAAAAAAAAAAAAACATTCGCATTAGAAAGAGAAGTAACGATGTGGGCCAGCAATAAACTTCCCCACTGAAATGAGAATCGGGCTGCTCCCCACCTGAGGCCAGGGAAGAGCGTGGCCTTGGACAAGCCTTAAACCCAACTCTCAGTGTCCGTCTTTATGGGGAGGGCAATGCTGAGGGACTGGGTGAGGGGCCAATAAGGCAGGCCTGATGCAGGGGAGAAATAACAGAGCTATTTCCCTCTTTTCTAAGCCGCCCATTGAAACACCTTATTGGGAAAGACCTAGTAGGGATATTTAAAGTTTCCTAATTCATGGATCCAAGTAACAAAACCCAGCATATTAAGAGAATACCTATCGACGGAAACAATGGACATCTAATGTCCACAGAGACTCAAGGGGGAGTCCCTTTGGGAACCAGGAGCAGGTAGGGCAGGTCCCCTTTGAGTGGGGCTGCCATTTGCTGGCCAGCATCAACTCCAGCTCCACTGGAAGGCGGTCATGTCCACACCACCGTGATCCGTCACTTGAAGGAAAGTAGGCAAATGAGAGCTGTGAGAGAAATTCCTTTTGAGAACACACTTTAATGAAATTCACTGTGCAGTTGGGTACATGGTTAATAATACTGTTAATAAATGAAACCCAGCGCTGGCTGCCGATTCTACCCAGTTCACTAAAACCTCAGATAAATTAATACAGCAATGAAAGAAACCACAATAAAAAATGAGGAAATTCCAAATAGGAGTGTAATTATCTGTGCCCACTCAGCAAATAGAAACCACCCCTACACTTACATTTTCTTTTGAAAACGATCTTGTGAAACACAGGTATCTGGTAACCTTGGACTTGAACAAGCCGTCTTTCCAGAGGTCAGCGTCCACGCCATCTGCCGTCTGTGCCACCTGTGCCGGAGAGACGGGGGAGAGGATCGCAGGTGAGACAAGATGGAGCTGAAGGTGTGCACGAGCCGCTTCCTCTGTACCTGTTCCAATTAACACGGCCCCAAGTCTCCTGGCATCTCATTAGTCCGTTTCACTAGGCAGGGGAAGAGAATTTCCAAAAGGGGAAAGGGAGAGTGTGAAAAATACAACTTCTAAAAATAATGTCCCTGGGGAAGCCACTGATTAAAGACACCCTGACAAAAATGGTTCTAAGGGAAAAGAGCCACTTTATTGTAATGGACCAAGAAGGGCTGGGGTCAGTCAGCACATTGGGGTGCTCATTACCACTTACTCGGGGTGTAGGGTGCAGAAAAACCCAATGGGGTGTGGAATGCATCTGGGCACCCTGCGGGGTGACAGGCAGCCTCCTGCCTGGGCGGGGCCAGCAGGCATGTTATTCAGGGGGTTCTGCTGGGGACTGAGGGGGCACAGGTCAGTTACACTTGCTTCCACACTGTGTCTTCTTGGAACAGCATTGAAAGTGGAATTCAAGGTCAGAAACGCATCGTGATTGAAAAATGAAACCAGACTCGGTGCCCCCTTCCTAGTCTCACTGGAAGCCATGTCCTCTCCTGCAGCTGAGGGAGTTCTCCTGCAGGGAATGCTCAAGGGTGAGGCCTGGATGTGCGGGGCAAGGCGGGACAGGGCGGGGCTGGCCTGGGTCCTTGCATGGTGTCCTTGCTGGGTGAACAAGAGGCTGCAGGAGGCCGGATGGAGGAGCAGGAGGCCTGAAGGAGCCTCTCCCTTCTTCCTTCCTCTCCAGGCTGCCCCATCACTAGATGGCCAGGGCTTGGTCTGCGCTCTCACCCAGCTGCCAATGTGACCACATCACATAGCTGGTGAGAGTGACTAGCCTTGCACCCCGTGGTCAGCATCACAAAGGGGGCATCCAGAAAGCCCGGGGAACAGAGCCAAATGTGGACACACAAGAGGGGATTGGAAGCCCTTGCCTTCTGAATGCTCTTTGTTGTGTCTGAGGTTTACATGGGGGTCCAGTCCTTGATCTGACACGTTCCTGACAATGCTAACAAGCTGCTGAAAGCGGCTCCTTTCCTTACACAAGCCGGCCCCGTCCAGCCCATCCCTGCCCACTGAGCAGGGCCTACTCCGCAGTCCACAGCCCCCACCATTGTAGGCCAGGGTGGGCCAGACAAGCCTGGAGCCTGCCCCAGCCGCCTGGGAGGCTGCCTCGGAGGAGCTAGAAGGCAGCTGGCAGCAGAAAAATGCTTGGTTTTCAAACTAAACAAGTGTAAATTAGCAATACACGGAAGGGAAAAGACTGGTCCGGATGCTAAGTGTGCAAGTCTCTTTGACCTGAAAGCGGAAGGAGGACTGGCGTGGGGATAATGCTCCAAGTGTGTGTGTAGCCGTCCTCCAGCCCCACAGGGAGCCACACCCTGGGACAAGACGGGGCCTAGAGGGCATCTTCCTGGATGGCCCGCACCAGGATTCCAGGGAAGCACCACACGCAGCAGCTCCCCACTGCAGCAAGGTGTTCCCAGACCTTCTTCCAGATCTAATCACCAATGGAGCTATCAACCCAGTCCCTTTCCCCAAGTCAGGCAGACCAGCTACAAGGTCAACGCCATAGTGTGAGGAGAGGCGCCCTTGATTGACCCAAGGCAGCATCGGAACCCAGTGTGCACACCCCTAGGGCACCACACAGAAACCTTCAAACCCCACTGTCAGGCAGCAGAGCCCAGGGAAGGCTCTGGGGGGCTGGGGTACAAGGTGGAGGACCAAAGGCCCTACAGGGAACAGGCAGACCTCACCTGAGCCCAAAGGCTTCATCTGTCCAGGACTAGAAGCTTCCCCAAGACACTGCTTGCCATTTCACCCATGGACCAAGCACAGTGCCTGACACAAGCGGCTCAGTCAAAACCCCCCAGAGGAGGGAATGAGCAGCCCACCACCTGAGCAGAGCCCAGAGTGTGCAGCCACGCGCCTGCTGGCTCCCCTAGGTAAGGCAGCAAGCACACTTTTAAATGAAGCTTCCAGGACTGAACCCCTGAGCTGCATGGGCATCTGGGTCCCCTCTGCCTCAGGAGCTCACCCTCCAGCCACTTCCCAAGTGACCATCCATGAGGCAGAGACCCATGCTAACACTGAGGTCACTTTTCCTCTGGCTAACCTCCCTGTTTCCTGCCTTGTTCCCTAACCATTTGCTCTGTCCAAGGCTGCTGAGGACCACAGTGCCTGCAGAGCCTGGCACGGGGCTCACATTAACCCTTGCACACACACACACATGCTTGTGAGAAGCTCCCACTTTTCTTGCTTTTTCCCCAGGGTGCAGGAACCTGTGAGGAGGAGAGGCAGGTGGGCTGATAAGCAGGCAGGGCAGATCTCTCTTCCCTGCCAACATCCCTACAATGACCAGTAGCCAAAGCAGGAGCCTGCCAAAACCAAGAGCCAGAGAGGAGCACACCAGCAGGGCCGGAACTGTGGAATGTGCCAGTGGGGGCCTCACAGAGGAGGGGACTATTACAAGGGCCCACGTGGCTGATGCTCAAGGAGGTGGCCTCCAACCCGAAGCCCAGGCCCCCACACCACAAGCGTGAGGGTGGGAAGCAGGTCTGAATTTAGGACCCCAGTAGGTGGACCAGACCAAAGCAGCAAGATCCCAGTCCCCGCCCCATTTCTGCAGAAGGAGTGCCAGTGAGGCTCAGGACTGCAGAACCCCAGCCCGGCGGGGAAGCAGGTGGGGGAGGAAGTGCAGCTCTAGACTAAAAACAGGGAGTTGGCTGCACACTGCACGGTGCCCCCTCACCATGCCTGGGGCTCACTGACCTCCTTCCCACTTCCCAGTGTCTCTCCTAAACGCCGGACACTGGAAGCCTGGTTACTGAGAGGCTGAGCGTGCCGGAGGTGGACCAGCATGGACTCTGGGGGCATCCCCTACAAAGGTGCCCCACCATGCAGCCCACCAGCTCCAACCCACCAGCCAGTGCCTTGCCCCTAAATGTCAACTGACCACCTGGCTCCGGGGGGAAGGTTCAAACATGAACAAAAATAAAAAAGAGAACTGGAATCTATCACAGATGACAGGAGGAAACCAGAAAGCTAGGGATGACCACAGGACAGTGGAATCCTTGGGAACAGTGGACACACAGCATCCAACAAACAAGAAGAGCACCCTGTAAAGACTTCTGAAAGAGGAGCCCTGGGAGAACGGTATAAAGAGATGAGAAATTTAAAAAGTAAAATAACTAAAATTAAAAACTTTTAAAACTACTGAAAGAGAAAGTTAAGGAAATTTTCCAGAAGGTAAAATGCAAACATGAGGAGCGAGATGAGGGGAAAGAACCAAGAAGGTTCTTGGGGAGCCAGCCAAGTTCAGAGAGAAGTCAAGGGAAGAGCGCGAACCTGGCCCTGAGAGGTCCTGAGTGGTCCAGCCAGAGAAGAGGGAGCCCCACCCCAGAGCAAAGCAGCAAATCACCCCGAAACCACCTACACACCCGCAGAGGGAGCGAGCAGGCGCCCTACAGCAGAGGTGGAGTCAGATTCATCATGCTTCAGCCATAGGTGCAGCTAAAAGAAAAGATGTCCTCCAAGTTCTGAGGAATGCTGGGGTTCCACACCTGAGCCACTGTCAGGTGGCCGACAGGAGGCTCCGTAGAGACCCGTGCAGACGTGCGTGCCCTTGGAAAGGTCGCCTCCAGGGGCTCTCTTAGGAAGCTGCCAGGGACGAGGACGCAGAACCTGGGACTCAAAGGACAGGGAGGAAACCACCAACTCCAGGAAATGGGGCCCACAGGGCAGCAGTGAGGACGGTGGCACACCCAGCCACAAGGGATTTCCTGTGGAAGAGAAGTCAGGGCCCGCCCCCTCTGGGGGAGGGGGTATGGATCAAAGGCCCCGTAAACTGCACTTAAGCAGCTGGAAGAAATAGAGACAGGCAGGGGACAAAGGTGTTGGTGCTTTTAGAAAAGAGAAAACAACAGGCATAAAGTGACTGAAGGAATATCACTCACTTCAGTGGCACCAACGGTTTGCACCATCAGCATTAAACAGGGAGCCTTACCTCCCCAAACTCCGAGCCGCTGCCGAATGGGGGCTGTAAGAGGAGAAAGGCCTAGGGTAGGCTGAGTGAGAAGCGCAGCCCAGTCGAGCTGCTGGGGACATGCAGATAAGGTGGTGGAGCAGGAATGCTGCGGAGAGCTGAAAGTCACTGCCCCGGGAGGGAAGCAGCAAGGGGCCTGGGTGGGCATTATCTTTTCTCATAAGCCTTTTGGTGCTCTTTAATTTTCCAACTGTGTGTGCACATGCCACTTTGTAAATTTTTAACTTTACGGTCTGAGAGCTGGAGAAATGACGTGGAAGATGGTAAGGAACACGACTCCTTATAGATAAACCGCCAGGGTCACCTCCATCAGGGACAGTCCCACCATGTCAACGGGCTCACTCCTAGTTCCCAGGCAGGTAACCACATCCAGAGCGGCTCCTACAGCAGGGTCCAGCCTTCCCCACAGCCAGAGTCCACCACAGATAACCTTCCCATGGCCCAGGAGAGGCGGCAGCACCAGCCTGTACAGGACTTTCAGTACAGGGCTTGGCCTCTGTCACACAGCTCAGGCCTCCCATGTCCTTTCCTGGCTTAATGACAGAGGTCACATTCTAGCAGTTACAGAAGAAGATGTGTCTGACACCCCAACAAGCCTCTGATGTGGGACTGGCTGCCTCTGAGACACTGCACTTGTGGGAGCTCTGGGGAAGGTGTGACATCCTGCTAGGGGCAGGGCTCAGGCTCTCCTAAATGCTGGCCAGCACCTCAAAGCCAGTCACCTGCATCTTCACAGATTCCTCCCCACAACCCCTGACATGCACTCTATCTCCCCAGTTTACCGAGGAGAAAATGGCAAACTTACTCAAAGTTGTTCAATGGGGCCCTGCCTTTGGTAAATGCTTTTAGGACAGTTGACCAGCCACATGCCGCCTCTGGAACATACCAGAAGGACCTGCCC